ATGATTATTATGATATATTTTAAAGATTTACTCGCTAATATATATATATATATATATATATATATGTTGGGTGAATTGCGTGTTTATCGGAAAATAAAGAAATCAATTAAATAAAATAATTAAATAATAACAAGCACTTCCCCTCTCTAGCTCTTACTTTTCTCTAGAGTCTATACTATATTGATAATTGATAATATTATATAAAACTGATGTAGAATAAGCAAGGTCGGTCATGTCTAGCTTTGGACCTAGCAGCGAAAAAGTAACATCACAAGTGTCACACACTTTTTTCCATGATCTCATGCGCAATGCTTAAAATTGCTAATCCGTTAAGTTTTTTTTAGACATAGGGATATGATGTTTTTACTTGGATTGTAATTTGTTGGTCTTGGTCAGTTTAAGTCTGGTCTGATTTGGTCTGTTTAAGTCTGGTATGGTCTGGTAAATGTCTGGTCTCTGTGTATTTTATAGCTACGGAAGTCAAGTCCGGTCCGGTCTGTTTAAGTCTGGTTTGGTCTAATCTAGGACCAAAAACAGTCCAAGTAAAAGCATCCATAATCGATTGTAGATAATTGAGATGAGGTTTGAGAATTGGGAAGCACGGGCAGCCCAAAGACAATAGTACAAATTAATAATTTTGTAATTAAAATGAATAAAAAGTCTTAAAGGCTAAAAAGATGACAAGATACATGCTTTTATTGAATCAACAACAAATGTGTTGACTTACAATCAGTTCTACTTAAAAAAAACAATCAGTTCTACTTAAAAATCAAAATTAAATGTACATTATTTTTTAAACTTATCTGGCTCCGATCAAGACTTTTTACTTATGTTTTAAAATTTTAAAAGTTTCCACATAAATTAAACATTAAGGGCAATAAATTATTGAATTTATAAGCAAAAAACAAGCCTACTCACATTATATTTAAAGAAAAAGGTTCGGGTCTAACTTTCTTTCTATTTTTTCAGGCCTAGGGTGGTTGCCCTTGTGCCCTAAGCTCTCCCTAGGGCCGGCCCTGAGAATAAGAGTTATGGGCAAGTATTTCGATATAATGTGTATAACTTATTTAAATATAAATGTGCCGTATGTGAAACAAAACAGTCTAAAAATAATAAGAAAAATTTGACAATAATAGTTTTTTTTATCGTAATAATAGTTCTACTTTCACCAATATTTTAATATAATAATTTTACTTCAACATATTTTCAGAATAAAATAATTACATATGAAGTATTTATGACTAAAATGAAAATTGTTTATAAAAAATGTGACTAATGATTAGAGTAATAATGAAATCGTAGTAACTTATGTTCAATTTTTAAACGTAATAAGTTACTAAGATATTACATTTTGTTAACTAATAGCTATATTTGTGTAAATAAGTTTTATTTTAATATTATTTTTGTAAAAAATCCTTTCAGAATAATCCCACCTTTGCACCTCATCTTCTTTCACCCAATAAATTTCATACCCCTGTAGTATAAGTGTGAGAATAAATATACCCCTATTTTTATTTTTCAGAAAAAATATACCCCTAAAATACATGTTGAAGTTCCTATATATCCCTAAACTTTTAGATAGTGCAAAATCACCCCTTATGTTCTTATAAAGGAGCAAACTTACCCTTATTGACTTTAAATAGATAAAATAAATTTCAAAAAACACCCAAAGCAAATTATAAATTCGAAATTTAAAAATAAAGATTTATTATTATGTGAAAATATTAACACTTTAATTTTAAATTGCAGAAATATTATTTTCCATTGTAAATGAGGCTTCTAATTCTAAATATTAATTTTAGTTTGTTGCAAAATTTTGAACACATTTTTACATTTTTTTAAATAACATTCTTTGATTTTTTTAATCTTAATAAAATTAAATTTACTATTGTGTAATGTTGGACTATTTATAATCATACAACACAAAATATGTAATTTTATAGTGCCAAGAATGCAAAGAATGCAAAAAGTTATTTTTTTTTAAATTGCAACACATGTGCTAACACTTTTTCGAAAGAATCTAAAATATATAGTAAAGTTTTGAAATAATATTTTATACTAATAATGTTAAATTGTGATACAAAAAATAAAAGGGAGAATTGGACACAAGCACATTTTTTAATTTCGAATTTATATTTTATTTATTGTATTTTTTGAGATTTATTTTATCAATTTAAAGTCAATAAGAGTAAATTTACTCCTTTGTAAGAACATGAGGGATACTTTTGCACCTTCCAAAAGTTCACAAACATATATGCACTTCCACATATACTTCAGAGACATATTTGTTCCGAAAAATAGAACATGAATATATTTATTCGCACACCATACTACAATGGTATATTTGTACCTCCTACATAAAAAGGGAAATTGAGTATAAAGGGGAAGAAGGAGAAGGAGAAGGAGAAGGAGAAGGAGAAAAGAAAAATATATTATCTAGAAAGTCTAATGAGAAAAATAAAAGATGATATATGGGATCGTTTTGAGAAAATCAATGAAATGTGAGATTATTTATGTAATGGTCGTAAAGAAAAAAGGTTTTTTTACAAGAATATTACTAAAATAAAACTTATTTACATAAATATAACTATTCATTACTACAACGTAGTGTTGTAGTAACTTAAGTTCAAAACTTGAACACGAATTACTATAATTTCATTACTACTCTAGTAACTAGTCATATTTTTGAAAATTATCTTTATTTTAGTCATATTTATGTAATTATTGAAAAATATGTAATATTTTTTAAAGAAAAGACAAAAAATATGGTATAATAGGCCGCTTACCAATCGGTTATGTAAATATGACATTTTTCTGAAAAGACCAAGTGAAATTGTTGTTGTCAACTTTTTCAAATAATAATCTCCGACGATTTATTATTTTGTGAAAATATGTACGACATTTCAATAAATTTAGTAATGATGTAATTTTGATAATTGACATAAAATTACTAGTCAAGTGTAGTAACTGTCTTTCGGTTGGAAAAAGAAGCATGGAAATTTATACTACGTACAAATTAGTGATGCTCATCGAGCGGGTTGGCTCACTTAGCTATTTTTTTTGGGTGTATCCAATTTATTCGAATTGACTATTAATTAATCAATTCAAGGCATGCAATATAATTTGATAAATCATACATGAATGGGTCGGGTAGGACTAGGTATAAATAACTCACTTCATATTAGATCTTTAATATGGACAATTAATGCCAGCCAATTTAAAACTTGGTTAACTTATTTCCAACATACACAAAACATAGAGTATGAGGGTGTTTGGTTACTGGCCTATCAGTCAATTTTAGGCTTATTTGACCATTATTTAGCTTTTTGACCAAATAATCAGCTAATCAGAGTGTTTGGTTAAGGCTATGTTTGACACAACGACCTGAAGCTGGAGGCTAATGTCTGAATTATGGGCTATTGTCTGAATCAAAGACTATTGTCTGGAACTGCAGTCTAAGGTGCTGAATCTGAATTGTTAGCTGAATAAAGTAGATCCGTTTGTTAAAAAAGACTGAAACAATAACTGGATAACATAAAATTACATTAGAGGGTATACAATTAATTAGGGAAAAGGGGAAAATAAGGTCATGTACTAACCAAAAAAGGTCAAATAAGGCCTTATTTATGGGGCTTTGTCCGGCCTTCGTCATTTGGGTGGTTCTCGGTGGAATTTTTTGATGAAATTTTTTGACCATCTTATTCATTAAGTCTAGTTTACTCATAGCAAATTTCAGATAACAATTCAATCGGGAAGACATTCAAATGAATTCTTGAAGATAACTGTGCTAAAGAGTGGCTATATGTTAATATGCGTATTAGTATCAATTTTTTGGTACTACCTTTAATTTTATTTATTTTTACTAATAACTCCAATTATTAATCAAAGTATCATGTTGACGTTTTTTCGTTACTTAACACATGCAAAATGAATTCATTATCGTCTTGGTGTGTTTGGTTATAAAGAGTCTTACAACTTAATTAAAGAGTGACTGTAATTTGCTGGTCTGGTCTGGTCTGGTCTGATCTGGTCTGATTCTTTTGTATTTTTATAACTATCCAAGTCTGGTCTGGTCTGAACTGGTCTAGTCTGGTCTGGGACGAATTACAATCCAAGTAAAAACATCCTTACTCATTTGTTTTAAGGAAACGTATGTGTTTACAAACAACTAGGGCTTAAATAAAAGCACGTTTTGGAAAAAAAGTGATTAATAGTAAAAGTTGGTAGTGTTTGGTAAAATAAGTTATTTTTGTGCAAAAGAAAAAATAAAAACTAGATTCTACACGAAAGTCGAGAAAAGTAAAAATTGGTAATGTTTGATAAAATAAGTGATTTTTTCTTAAACAAAAGTCACAATCACTTAAATTAAGTGATAAACAAGCCCTAGGATGTACACAAATTATATACACTAATACACCACTTAATATATATCAGTTTTTTTAACAACAATTATATACTCCCTCCGTCCCTTATAACTTTGCCAACTTTCCTTTTTTGGATGTCCCATTAACTTTGCCACTTTCCCATTTAAGTAAATAATTTGTGGTTCCAGGTAATTCTCTCTCCTCTGCACAAACCTCAACCACACAGTTTTTACTTTATTAATCCATGTGCCGGTCAAATTTGGCAAAGTTATTAGGGACGGAGGGAGTACGAAGTATGAGTTACGTGTATACATGTAATTTGTGCGCAGCAAGAATTTTCCACGAAAAAATGACTGAGGAATTGGCGGTAGTAAGTAAACCGGGCGGCCCTGTTTGGAGTGATTGAGTTGAAGGAGTCGATGAAAGTGATTTGAAGTAGTAGTGGGTAGCAGAGAAAAGTCCGTCCGTCCATCCCTCACTACTACTGTTCCTATTTTAACTACCAACCAATTTTGACTGTTCCCCCCAATGTCCTCTCCCTCCGGCGAGGCATCATGGATGCATGTTGTTATTATCCGGCCAGGTTATTTTTAAGTAAATAATAATTTAACAAGTAAATGTTTATATGGTACGTACTCTGAGAAGAAGCGGCGCAGTCATGAGGGGTCACCGTCCCGTTGCAAACGCAGAAGAAGTCGCCGGAATCGGTTTCAAGGCCGCACCGCCCCTCGGACCTCTCGCACGCGGTGCAGTTCTCCCCCTTGGCATCCCAATTCAGCACGAACCCTTCACTCACCGCTTTGGCCCAGGAGGAGGACGAGCTGCCATTCAACCTCGCCCCAATTTCACCGGGTCTTCCCATCACCGCCGTCTGCAGCGCTCCCTCGCAATTTCCGCGCCAACCCAAAAGGGTCGGCCCGACAGACCAGTATGACGACCTTTCGTCGTCAATTGAGCAAGGATAGGGGGTACCGCCGTCAAGCGAATTGGTGCAGTTGGCGTAGAAAACGATGGCCACATCTATGCTGTAGTTGTAAACGAACGGCGGCAGCGTTCCGCCGCTGAAATTGAGGTTCTGACGTGGCCTGGGACAGTCGCCCCCGGAGGTGATGGCATCGGCATCCGCAAGCGCGATCGAATGATCGCCGTAATTGATGTTCTTCACCAGGAAGGCGCCGCCGGAAATAGCGATTCGGGGATAGTCAGGATCGGCGTTGGAACAGTCGATGCTGAATCCGGGGTAGCCACAGATTTGGCCTTCATCATCCGCCCTCCAGAAGGGATATGAAATATTCAAATTCCTCTTGCAGCTTCTGCTGGTTGTGGAAGGGCCGCAGTACTTGGGTGAGATTTCCCTATCAGCATCATCATCGGCTGCTGCTGCGTCGTTTAATTTGATGGACCAGAATAAGAAGAAGAGGAGGAGGAGAAATCGGTGCGCGTTAGAGGGAGGAGACATTATTGTTTCTGTTCTCAGAGTTGGTTGACTTGACTGGATACATTCATATATAGCGAGCGAGCGATTTGAATGTTAGCTATATATGCAGAGCAGAGGAATACTCCGTATGATATGCACCATTTCCTTTTACTTTCCCATCCCACTGTAATGTCAGAGAAGATTCATCAACTAACGTACTCGTATTTACTTGTGAGATGTCTTTTATGGCCGGTGACTGCTCACTGTTATGCTAACTACCTAACATGAAAAATAATGATACATAAGTTAATATAGTGTCATGGTCATTTATACTACGTATTTAAAAGTTGAACCTAGGTTAATAGGATTAAGTTACTATTATGATCATTAGTCACAATTTTATAAATAACTTTTATTTTAGTTATATGTATGCAATTATTTCTACCAGATATACATTTTATTGATGGAAGTCATTACTTCATTTATATTTATGTTTAAATTATTCGATTAAAATAAGGAGTATGTTAATTGGTTTATGCCAATAAGGTATGCTAGATTGGTAGCGTGGTAGGGGTATGGTATAGTGTATTAGTGTACCATCTTTTATATGATGGTTCTGTTTGATGACCATGTTTCTCAGCTTATCATCCTTATGAGTCAATTTTTACGAAAATTCTAATTTCGTACGCCGGATTTTATAATAAACAAAATAAGTAATGATACAGTTATTTTTTTGTGAATTGACTAAAATTACTATGAATGATCATTTTACCCATTCTTCTATATATGTTTTTCTTTATTTTGTTAATAAATACGAAGTAATATTTTCAGTATATACTTTTTTTAAAATTCCAGAGGATTCAACTAATTCAACCGCTTCAGTGAGAACTTTATTAGTTTTAGCAGACTTAATCGATTCAATTTATTAAATGGGTCCCACATATCTCTACAATATTATAAGAGTGAATATTGTCAAGGGTATAATGGTGATAAGAAATGTGTTGGTGTCTTTTATTGCATAAACTTATTGTACCAAATGTACATATTGTGGTACATGTGAGCTCATAATTGCTTCCGTTTTAACGGCAGGTGTGATCAATCATTAGTGCAAGTTTTAGACTTTCGGTATCTTAAATAATCCATTTCCATTATTACCATCGTCCTTTGTTCACGACCTCAAGCCCCCATCTATAAAGTTACAGAGTACATTTGTAGTTAATTTTTTTTAAAAAAAGGATGACACCCCATCCCTGAGGGCCCCCCATCACCGACCGGACGACACGATGGGAGGATGTAAATTGGACTATAATCACAATCTGACAGATAGAGAGTGGGGTTCTGTCCCCGGTACTTGCAGAGACCCTATGCATTTTTCAGCATAGTAACCCCTCATCGCAGTTGCCGGGATTCGAACCCGAGACCTAACCCTTGTGGCACTCCCTTGCTATCAGTTGAGCTACGCCCACCGGTTTTGTGGTTTATTTTAGGTACTATTTTATTGCTCTTTTTATTTAAATAATTATTCATTTACTTAGAAAAAATTATCAAATGGGTCTTTGTACTATTATATACGGAGTGTGAAAATGTCAATTAGATTTTTGTACTTTAAAAGAAATTAATTAAATCCTCAAACTTTGAAAAAATATTCAATTGAGCCAATGAGCAGGTTACTTGTCCAGACAGCAGTTAGCTACTGATGTGACGCACACGTGGCGGTCCACATATGTGCCGGGTCAGCAACTAACTCATGGCTGGGCGCACACGTGGGGCACCACATCAGCATAGTAATTGATAACCGGGTCGCCGCATGTATGTTGCGTCAGCAGGTAATTAAATTGTTGACGTGGTGGATAACATGTTAATTTGCTCAATTGAATGTTTTCGAATGTTCAGTGAATTTATTAAGTGTCTTTAAAATGTGATAATATAATTGACGCTTTCATGATAGTACAAATATATATAATTGATTGAGTGTGTTTAAAATATAACAATATATTCTCTGTAATTGATTAAGTGTTTTTAAAATATGATAATATACTTGATGTTTTCGTAATAGTACGAAGAGTAGTAGATCTATCTGATAGTTTTCTCTTTAATTAAATATTTACTTGAACGTTTTTCAAATGTTGGGAGCTTTAATTTGGTTATTATTTGCCTATGGTTTTAAATAACTACATGAATCCCTTAGTTTCATACTACGTACTCCGTATTAAAAAACCATCATTAGGGCATTTAGTTCTTTTCACAATTTTTAAATAATTGGTTACCAATAATTGGTCACACTAATATTTCCAACATTTATTTCATGGGAAAAATAATAAAAAATACCCAAACTTTGAAGGTGTGTGAAGTAAACACCCCAAACTTGCATTTTTAATTTAAATACCCCAAACTTTATATAAAAAGTTATTTTCGCACCATTGTCATGTATTATTTCTTTGAAAAATGTAAATTATGGGGTTAATTGCATACTTTAAAATATCAAATTCAAAGTGTTTCAATTATATAAATTGGGGGTAATAACATTGTTTATTTCGTAATGGAAGTTTAGAATGTTAATTGTGTCTTCATGAATTTTAAAGTATTTTAAATTATGCAATTAACACCATAAATTTACATTTTTGGAAAAAATAATACTTGACTATGGTGCTAAAATAAAGTTTTATATAAAGTTTGGAGTACTTAAATTACATATGCAAGTTTGAGGTCTTTATCTCATGCTCCTTCAAAGTTTGAGATATTTTAATTACTTTTTCCCTTATTTCATTGATAGACATTCAATGTTTATCAGATAATTTTACTCGTTATTCATACAAACAAATCCAATCTGACTCATATGTGTTTGATACTTGATTAAATGCGCTTGAAATGTATAGCTAAAAATTATTTATTTAAGATATAAATTTATTTCACAGTATACAAATACTAGCTACATTTAATCTCAATGTCTTATATTATACGTAGTACATAATATATATGGGTTACAAATGAGTTGTGGTGAGTCAAATATTTCGTAATATCCTTGGGCATTTAGATGAATGCGCATGGCGCGTTCAGAAACTAGTCAATATATAATTTTCAAAGAAGTCAAATAAGTAATTAGTCGTTACCCGTTTTGGCAAAGAAAGTCCAATCACTATTTGAAAGTTAAATAGGAAGAAAGTATTACAAATTCCAATTTGCCCTAGCTAAGTGCAATCACGTGTTAGTATGCGGTCACATTAGTATTCTTCCAGACTCCTAGTTAGGGCCGCCACCGAACCAGGCCCTTCACAGGAAGATTTGGCGATTGGGTTTCACGATATACCACCAATTGTCCCCAGGTTTTAGGATTTCAAGAAGCCGGTTGTAGGCAGCAGGTATGGCCTAGAGCACTGAGAATTGCGGTCTCTCCCTAGCATGTTTAGGGTTTGGTTTTTCCTTAGCAGATCTAAGGTTTGGTTCTTCCGGCCGGTAAATCCCCTTCACCTGTGTCCGGCACTGGGATTGGATTTGAGGCAGACAAGAATCCTTGCCCAAGCTTGATGACATTGAAGCCAAAGTTCGGTGATCGATTTCTTCGTGAGCAGGGTAGCAAGGGCATGTCAGCGATGAAGATGACCGCTAGCGGTGGGTTTGCTACGAGCGCGGGACGAGGAGAGTTGCACAGATTTCGAGCAGGCCAGATGATGATTGACAATGGAGAACAATTAGATTGGTACCAAGGATATGGCCTCCTCCAGAACCACCATCATGGGTTGTGCGAGATGCTAGAGTCCGTGAAAGTTTCCCAATAAGTTTTTATTATTTTGTCATTTGGTTTCTTGTTATCGTCTATGCTGTTAGGTTTGTCAGTTTGTTTGATGTCATTAAACATGTTTGGATCTATGGGAATATGGATGGTTGTGTCAAGCCCGTTACATGGTTAGCGATTTGTGTTGCTCTTTCAGGGGTGACCGTTTCTAAGGATCATCAGAGGGTTTACAGTCGTAGTTGTTGGAGTCTAGTTGGTGTGAAATTTGTTTTTCCTTTAATTGATGTAATGATCCTGAAACTTATGATATGAATAGAGGGTAGTTTTCGTTCAAAAAAAGTGCAATCACATGTTCTTATTTTTTTATCCCCTGAAAAAACAGAAACATTATCATACTTAGAGCCCGTTTGGTAGCACGAAAATCGAGTGATTTGGCTTATTCTGCTGAAATTTATGAAGTTTTGGCTGAAGTGACTGCATTGGCTGATTCTGCTGATTTAAGAAAAAATTATTTTATAAAATATATTTTATTAATAAAATAAAGAAAAAATTGTATGTAAAATAGCTAAAATGATCATCTACAGTAATTTCAGCCAATACAGTCAGAAAAGTAACTTCAACCTTACTTTTTCTGCTTATTACACAATTCAGCGCGCGAAAGTAAAGGTTACGTGTTTGGTGAAAAAGTTGGCTGATAAGCCGAAAAACAGTGTTGCCAAACGGCCTCTTAGGCATCATGATTAGGCATGGTCCCAGCTCGGGCCGATTCCGATCTCCGACCAGCCGATCCTTGAAAAATATATGAAGGCTCGGATAAAGACCTCTATTTCTGGCTTGTGGTTGGTTTTGGTCCTCAACCAAACTCAGTTCGATCCCGTTTTTTCTATTTTTAACACTTTTTAAACCCATCTATTTCCCTCTTCACCCCCTAATACATCTCTTTTAAGCTTTTAAATGATTTATTTAATAGCAGAAAACCCCAAAAATAAAAATAAAATAATTAGAATCGGTTCGCTCCCAGTCTAAAAACACGGAGGCCATGATAGGGACTTCTTTCCCACCGTCTGGTTCTGGTCCTAGTGTGAAACCTTATTTTCCGGTCTCGGTTTTGGGACCTAGTCCATGCCTAACCGCATATGATCTCGACAATCCACCTCTAATTTTCATCTTAAACCACAACCAGAACTCAACACAAAGGCACTAAGAGGGTGGGTAAGTCTAAGAGCACCTAGACAGTGCGCGGACCTAAAAACTCGATATGGGATGCCGTTTCTATAAAACGGTTCGTCAAAATGATTTTTCTTGGTCAATGGTAGTCTACTCTAACCAATGATATTTGTGAATATGAAATTATTTTGAATATAAAAATATATTAAAGTGTTCCTTGTTAAAAATATGTTTGTTAAAGTATAATTTTTTTAAACTATATGCAAATACAATAATTAAAATTAATGTCCAAAGTTTATTGACAAAGAAAAATCAATATGACACATCTTTTCGAGATAGAGATAGTATAATACTATAATGTATCACGTGATAAGTTT